AGGGCGGTCCCTTACCTACACCATCGTTATCTCCGACTGCCACGCTGAAGGGGAGGGGGCAGAGTAGTAACCTGTCATCTGGGAAAGTGATGAGGAAGGGTAAAACAAACTGCACTGTTTGCGTTTAGCGTCAGCAGATTTTAAAATATGGACTACCTAACTAGCACACTTTGGGATACTGGAAATTCCTCAGAATTCTGGAAAATACCTTCATCTGTTGTTCCTGTTGCCACAGACTTCATAATCTTGCTCCTTCAGTGGAACTTTCTTTAGCTTATAAAGAAATTACATAAACCTAAGACTAGAAATATTTCATTATTTAACTTTTGTGCCCTCTGCTGGCTCTGGGAACATTCTCTCTCATGAAACCATTTACTTTTTCCACAGTGATTTGGAGTCATTGGTAGAGAATTAAAAAATCCACCTTAAACCTTGAGGTGTCTGTAATCCTCCAGGCACTAATACAGTAATACCCTGGGATGCAGTTACTTGAAAGTGCACCTTATTTTAAGGTGAAAATGGAGTTGCGTACACTGCTTGTGCAGCATTAATGCTGCCTCATTGTTTGGAACTGCAGGTGAGGAGTATGAGGAACAGCTGAAACTAGAGGAGGAGAAGAGGGCTGCTGATGAAAAATACAGGTACAAGCAAAGACAGATCAAGGAACTTCAGGAAAATCTCCAGGTAAAATACAAGCAGAGGACAAGGCTGCAGCACGTAGCTAAACACACGCAAAGCATCCTACTGAAAGACTGGGAAGTTCTAGGACAAAGTTATTTTTCCCATGAAAACAGCTTGCTCTGGGAAGTTAGGCACTGCCAAGGCAATCCTCTGTGCTGCTGACAGGCACGTCTGAAAATACAAACTTACAACTTCAACAACACTACCTTTAAAGTAATTTTTTTAAATGTATGTAAATCACCTGGTGGTCTCTTTATCCAGGTATTTATCCACTAAACGGTCTGACAGGCAGAAAGTTTCAGGTTGTGTGATTTGTTTTTGTTTAGTACTAATTGTTCGAGCTACATTTAGAAACGAGTAGCAGCGATAACGGACGACTCCACACAGTAACACATGAAGTGAAAGGGGATCAGAACTGCTTTATCAACTAACACTACTGTTCCTATAAATTTGCAGAGCATGGAAGAAAATTTTGATATAATACTGAAGCAGGAGGCCCTCTTCCAAGAGCAGAAGAAGGAAAAACAAGCTCTTATTTTGCAGCTGAACAAAGACATAGAAGAACAGAAGCCAAAACTAGAAAGGGTCATAAAACAGGTCTGTATATTCGTTAATGACAAGTTCTGGCTTTATGGGGACAGTAGTATGGTTAAACCCAGAGAATTTCAACTCAGCAGCTTTCTGAAGAAGTGTTGCAGTTTCAGAATCGCAATGTTTAAAAAAAAAAAAAAAAAAATTTGTGCTGACAGTGTTCCAGACTCTCCAGAGAAATTCAGTCTCTGAAGAAAACTAAAACACAAACACAGGAAGAAAGAGACATTGACCTCCGTGAACTGAAAAGCTTCAGCAGAACCATCGACAAATTGCTAACTGATGTTCTGGAGGCAAATCCCGATTTAACTATACCCTTTCAGGTGTACTTTCACCAGGTGAGCTTTCCAGTTAACACCCCCACCAAAACCTTGACTGGTGGCTCTAGGCTACTGCTGTCTGTCAAAGGCAATTCCTGAATTCAATAATGAACTACACTTTGCTGAAACAGTTACAGTGTTCCTCTGCTTTCAGCTGCTCTTCAAACACAGCTTCCTCCCCCCTATATACCCAGTCCTTTATGCAACCCCTGGTTAACTTTTTTTTTCCTTTCCAAATTTTCTAGTCCAATTTAGAGCTCCCTACAATGGCTTCTACTGGTGGTAATCGAGATTCTCGATTGCCATCCACACAAAGCTCACGAGCTTCTACCAGGTAAGTGCTAGCAATGGTATTTTGTGTGGGTGCTTTTTTTTTTTGGTTGGGTTTGTTTCTTTAAAGTTAAACGTTAAACCAGCAAAATTAGTCCTTAAGTAACAGAATTCCTTGCTCCTGAAGGTCTTCTCAATCCTGTCTCCATTTCCTGAACACTCTGTAAGAAGTCTCTCCTTATACGCTCCCACATTTAAGTTCACAAGGTTTTTCTAGCACACAAGTTTACTTCAGCATCCATCAGAGTTTTAAACTGAATGGTAATTACAGAATAATTACCTTTACTTTCGCTAACTGCTCTAACTAAAGTGGTTTCACACATTACAAAAGCACAATTTTGAGCTGCAGTCCCAGTTTGTACGTGGTAGCCTAAGCTACCTTTCCCGATCAAACAGGGCAGACAGGCGTGCGTGCTCTGCCGTCTTCTTCCCTGTTCAACACACATTTGACCCATAGTGCAGGTAACGTGTTATCTCACGACTTACTGAAGCCATCAGCAACGTCTGCACCGGTCTGTGTAGGGGATCTTACCTACAGTAAGCACTGCTGCAGGGTGGCTGGTTTTCTGTAGGCTCAGGAGTCAACTTGTGTCTTCCAGATCCTCCCGAAGCACAGGTTCAGGCTCCGGTCAGACGCTGGCACTCAAAGTCATAGATCTGAGCTTGCCGATCTGCGCCCCGGCAGACGCGGCTGCTGGGGGTTCACAGCCAGCCAGCACCTCCGGTACGTGTAGCGCAAGACGTCTGCGGTAACCTTCTGAAGGCCAGAACAAAGGCTTCACACTAGTTCAGGCTTCTTACTCGATTCATCTGTAACTTATTTATCAAGGTCTGTGGCAATCTTAGCGTTTGTTTCTATCAGAAATGTATGATCTGAACACTCTTCTACAGTGTGCAATGAATTATCGGCGAGAAGTGTTAAGCATGTGTTTCATATAATAAAACAAGCTTTTAAACTCCTTTCTCATGTTGCTGTCTGAGAACTAAAGATTCACAAACCCCTTCAGAAGCCATTAATTCACTTTTCTTACAACGAAAAGGAGAGTTATATTAAAACCATTAGTTTTAGTAAACTAGTATCTTCACTGCTGTCAAAAGAGTTTTGATTACACTGCAACCACCCAGGCACGAAAATGTATGCCTCGCTTGAAGCTTAACCCTGACTATTAATTGGTCATCTCAGATTACATCTTAATTGAAAGATAACTCGTCAGCCAAAGTGTACTTCCTCTAGTCAAAATTAGACAGTACCAGCTCTGCAACTGACCTTATCTACGGAATTACTTGGGAAACTTGCAGCTGAATTACACGTGGCCTTGTCCAGTCTGCCCGGCGTCAGCTCCTTACTGTGCTCTGCCCCCCGCTTCGCAGATCTTGCTGTAAATACAGCGCAGCCCTTTCCACAGTGATGCAACCACTGCCTCCAAGCACTTGTAACGCAAATACCCAACAACCACCGCAGGCCCACAGCTGAACTCGCCCAGATAATAATCAGTTTTAACACTCTCCTACTTCAGCTGGGTTTTTTACATTACTTAGAGAACATGTTTGATGCATTAAAGAATGGGTAACACTTGCCTTCGCCGACACCGGAGGGTTCCGTTCACTTAAGCAGCACATCTAACCAGTGCACCAGCACGCAACGTCCCAGCGACACAATAACCGAGACACAAAATTAAGAAAAATTAAGAAAATTTAATGATCAAATGAGCTATGTACATTGATGGCACATGACTTTCATTCAGTTATCCCCTTTCTATAGCTGGAAGTTTGATACAAAAATAACAGTCAATAGTACCCCAGGGGATGAGAAAAACCAAACAAGCCACATCTGCTGTTAAAGTGCGTCTTTGATGCGAGTTCCACAACTAACTACAGTCCAGGGGTGTCAAAGGATTTCAACCCATCAGACAGAATATTGTCCAGGAACATCCCAAGTTAAGTGCTCGGGAAACTTGTGATTTTAAATAATAACTGCTATTTTATGCCAGATATGCCTGCATCTCTTTCCACCATACAACATTTAAGAATTCTTTTGACGTCCTGCAAGACAGACATTCTGCCTTTCTATCATCACTCTTCCTGTGCATTTCCTCCAGAGGCACTCAGACAGAAGTTCATTTAACTGCACTCAGGAGAAGAGCATTTGCTTAGGTGCCTCACTGTTTCTTTTGCTTACTTCCTTTTTCCCTCTCAAACTCGGCTATCTGATTGAATATATTAACTAAGTTCTGGGGCAGGTTTCTTTTAACGCCGCCTTCTGTTTGTGCTGTACCATTTAAAGACATTTCCTTGTCGGGTTCCTTTGTGCTGTTAGTGTCCTCACAACTTTCTTTCCTATTCTTACACTCGCTCTCATTTTTATGCTGACCTGACGCATGCCTATCGCCATCGTAACCTTGATCACCTTCCCGTGAGCAGCTGCTGGAATATGACCTGCACCTTCCCACCCACCTGCCGGAGTAGTCAGACCCTGATGGAGACATGTAATAATACCTGTCCTGACCTGAGCTGTGTTTTTTAAACTGCTCTCTTCTCCCCTCTACGTCCCTTTCCCATCTCCTAAAATAATGCGTCCTGGGTTTATCATCTGACCTATGATACGAACCTGAAGAACCCCTCCGACCACAGAAAAATCTACCTGGTTTACCATATTTTTCAGTTTTGCTACTACTTGGCAAAGCTCTGGAGCTACTGTAAGAATCTCCTGAATCTTCAGACCTACCTCCAAAAGTGTCTTCATCATCACCTGAAGTCCTCGAAAAAGAACAGTGTCTGTCTTTCTCTTTTCCCTCTGATTTTGGGCACACTAAGCTCTCCTGACTTTCCAGCAGTTTCTCCACTTCAAAATTTTGGTTAAGAAAGGAAGCAGAGGTATCAGCCGGAGGCGAATACCACTCCTCTTTCCTAACCTGATCTTTATAATGGGAAGAAGCTCTAGATGAGCATTTTTTGGAGCTGCGGGCAGACTCGGATTTATTCCGACGCTTTTTCCTACGTTTCTTGTGATCAGAGGAAGAGGAAGAAGAAACTGATACGTCTGATGAATCACTTGAGGAAGAAGAGGAGGAGGAGGAGGAGGAGGAGGTTGATACTTTCCTTTTCTTCTTCAACCTAAAAAATGGAATCAACCTGTGAGATAATCTTCAGTATCAGGCAAAAATAACATGCAGAAAGCAAAGTGTAGTTCCCCCAAGTTTGGCTGAGATTGGAACATAAGGCAGGAATGGAAACCAAGCCTGACCTGATGAGACGGTTTCAAATGTCATTTCTTCATCAAAAAATGAAGATTAAATCCACCAGACAGTCTGCTGTAAAAGGCATCTTTCCCAGCTTAATATGCCATTACACTCTGCAAATGCTTCATGCTGCAAAGTATGTTCTAAACAACTTCTCTTCCACATGATCTCCATTAAAGGTTATATGCACTACAGGGCGCTGCCCACAAACAAAAGAAAAGCAGCTTACGTAGGCAGAAGTTCCACCCAGCTCACTTCTGCCTGGAAATGGGCTGTTCACAGCCTCATCTGCACTGGCAGCCACATCATCAGTACACTGAATACAACAAAGTTACCTTTTTTCTTCCTTTAAGAGCTTACGCAATTTTTCTGCACTTGTTTCTATTTTCTTTTCTTTCTGTCTCTCTTCTTTGGCAGCTTGTTTCTCCCTCATTTCCAAAGATTTCTTTTTTGAACCCAAGCATCATAAAAAAATTACATTAGAAGTGTTAACACAGGTATTTTTCCCCACGTCCCCCAACCCCATTCAAATTTACAATCACCCCAGGGATTTTTTACCAGGATGCCCAAGATCAAGAGTTAACATTGTTCAGGAGTTTGGCGTTGGCCATTATGATAATCAGGTTTACATTAAGGACCATATTGCAGTTTTTATTCCATTTAAAAAAACCGTATTTGACCAGCCATTGCGGCGGTACCCGTGATCCAGCACACCACAAAGCATGGAGCCCAGAAGGGTATAGGTAGAACACGCAACAAAAACACAGTATTAGCAACATGGAGAGCAGATGAAGAAGGAAGGAAAAAAAAAATAAAAGAGGTTTGAGGGTAGGTATCATTATCGTAGTTTACAAATAAAACATGGCAGAACCCATTTGAAAAGGTATTCAGGTTGGCCATGTTTGAATACAAACCGTTTTGTAACAATTTCACAGACCAGTTTGATGCATAGTTTACGTAAGAAATCATGTTCCCAAGGTTTGTTGGTGATGAGCAGCACCAGATGTCAGATACAGCAACAACGGTCCAATTCAGAAGAAAATGCATTGGAGAAAAACACATAATCAGTATTACAGGAAAACATCCTTCGGTGTTGCTTCAGCCATTCTAGCACAACAGCGATAGCATCAGACTCACGTATTAAACCAGGGGCAAACGCAGAAGCGAATCTCGCCAGAGGAGTAATCCTTAAACTACTGAAGTCCATCAGAGATCGGACTTCTACCACCTACAGCCCCAAGGAACAGCTCTACCCATACTCAGAGCATGCAGAAAGTTTTGCAGAACTCAGCAACCGCCTTAACAGCTATTATGAAGAAAACCCTTAACTGCAGTTAAGGCTATGCAAACCGGCAAACAGTGGCCTGCATCGTGGGCTTTGTCTGCTGCATCCATGACCCAGTACACCAGGAAAATGGTACAAGGTGAGTAAAATCTCTCTCCTACTTGCTGAGCACATTCTTCACCATTTCACCCGAGACCGACCCTTCTTTCTCTGTCAGCCAAACATGGGTAGTGCACAAACACCATTCAGAAGTTTATCTGTGATCTAGTTCAGTTTTATTAAAAAGATTGTCCTATCTCCTCTTCCCCCTTCTTTCAACAACCTGTCAGCATTATGGCTCCACCAACTGAAGAAGTGTCGACTACGGCCGTCTACCCCAGCCTATGCACTGCCTTACATGTGGAAGCATGGCACAAAACAAGCCTGTTCTAGGTGCTCTGTTTTACCCTTTGATCCTCTCTGGAAGGCAACACAAGTAACAGAGGTAAGAAAGAAAAATAAGAGAACCCAGATTAGCACGGAGACCCTCCAGGGCTCACCTGGGAAACATGCTGCGTGCAAGAGAAGAGAGAAGAAAAACAGACAGCAGAGAAGCAAGCTAAAGGTATTCAAAACTGCCTGCCTGCCCACCCACCCTCCACCTCCTGCTGTTTTCCTTTAAATCAACCCCTAATTTTTCCTCTTGTGATCTTCCTGTAAGCTACCTCTGGCTGCCGTTACTCTATCCTTTCATCACTACTTGGAACGACAAGGATCTGGCTGGTACGATGGGGCGCAACACTTATTTGGCTTGCCCAAGCGTTTTACACCTTGCAAGTCTGCACTGACAGAATGTTTTAATTTAACCTCATGAATCACGCTTGTACAATGGAATATTCTTATCCTGGCTTTAGCTGACAGGGTTAACAGGCTTTGCTCTTTCTCCGGCCTCCCCTACTTGGCATTTCCTTACTATCCTGTTCAAAAGAGTGCAGCCACCAAGAGGCACCTTTCTTCTGGTAGGTACAGCCATAATGCTCACTAAGAGGTTTACTGTGGAGAAGGGAAGCCGAGAATAAGACAAGCCATCACCTTAACCTCTCCCTGTTCAAACGATTTCATGCGATTTGCGATGTTCGTTTACTGCCACGGAGAGTGCTGTATGAAGAGAAAGTAAAGAATCACCTGCATATGCTTACGGAGTTTCGTTAAGGCCTCTTCTGCTTCCTGAAAAGTCTCATCCAAACTTAAGGCTTTTTTATAGTAATTCTCTGCATTTACTAGTTTGTCTTCCTCTTCCAACCTAAAATTCAAGCGAAAATTCATATACAGTTAAGCCACAGGTTTTGAGAGTTTTCCCTTATTTTTAGGACTACCTTTCTTATTTGCACTATGACCCTGCCACCGCGCCCCTCTCTATCATCTTAGCCCCCCTCAAGAGAGAAACACAGCAGCATTTCTGACACTCTGTCATCTCCTGATCACCCTCAGTAATACTGTTTTTCAAAATTTCAATGCCAGCTTCAATCATGCCCTCTCCTCCCAGCACAGGGCTTAAAAGAATCTATCCCCTCAATATTCAAAAGTAATTCTTTTTGTTAGTGGTTAGCCCGTATTTTAGTAGAGTAATTCAACATCATTTTGTCACAAATACTTTGTTTAAAAACCAAACCAAACCCCTATTGGAATATATTCAAAAATTTCACAAGACTTCACGCAAGCCTGGTACCCTCCCAATGAAAGGATATCAAGGATTAAACCTCAAATGTTTTGCCAGGATTTCCACTGGACAGAGGAGAACGTGTAAGCCAACTGCAGGTGCACCGAGAGACATGAGCAACAACTAAACACCACCACAACCCCGACACTCACTGCCCGCCTCTCTCCACAAGCGTCTGACAGAGGTATTTTCTGGCGTTTCTATGCGTAGGACAGTTTTCCAAAGCAATTTCAAAATCACCTATGGCTTTGTTCAGACTTCCTTTTGTCGCATACCTAGCACGAAGGACAGTTAGATGGATTTTAGCGACGTCTGTCTTCCACGAAGCAGAAACACTAGCGAAACAAGCAGACTTACAGAGCTCCACGGGCTACCAAAGCTTCCACGTTCTGCGGGTCAATTTCCAAAGCCTTGTTGTACTCGTTCATGGCTTCCACGTGGCGCCCGACCTTGAAATAATCGACCCCAGCCTTCACACTGGGGAAAAATATTTAGAAAATATTATGCACAGTTTGCCTATGCACATTTCACACTGTTAATTAAAAATTACAATTCCAAACAAGTGACAGGTAACCAAACTCGACCTTGTTATCCAGTACTTAAGACTGGCACTTCTAATTAACACGATACTGACGTAACTCCACAGTTTTAAATCCAAAATCTTAAGGCACTGGACAGCATTTCTGCAGACAGTGCTACTACATCACACTGTTTTTCATTTGTGGAACAAATATTTAAGCACTTTTCTGCACAAAACCATGTGTGACCTGCCACCGTTAAACTGGAACAGACTTAATTATATCCAAAGCTAAAAACTACCATGAGGTGGGTAGATGGTACACACTGAAACCAATTAATCTCAAACTGCAGTATTTTGAGGCTTCGTATTTTATATTACCTGAACCTTGGTTCTACATTCCCTAAGAGACGAACTTATCTAAAAGGAACCAATAAGAGTTGATTTCAGAACTTGAAACACTACTGTTTTAAGAAAAACACTGCTTGGTTAGTAGTGAAACCAGAAATTCTGAGGCTTCACTCAGAATTTCTTTTCTTTTGGAGCTAGGGATTCAAGAGAAGTTTTCCCACCAAAAAAATCACATTTTTAGGAGAGATCTCTCTCTTACTCTGCCTCCTGCACTTTGCAGGTCACACCCAAATGCCCTGCCTAGCACAAAAGCAATAGCACCTACCCAGGGCTGTGGTTCCAAACGCAGCCAGGGAAATACATCAACTGTCTGTTCAGAGATAGCAAGTGTGCTTGTTACATCGGCAGCTTGGGGTTTACACGGCATTGACAAGCACTATTAGGTCATTCAGCACCCAACTATCAAATGGAAAATTGTGTACTTGGTGTTGTCACAGATCATACTCTCACCAGTGGGTGAGCATATTATAGAATCACAGAATGGTT